CGTATTTTGGCCTGGTTTCCTGCGACACAATGACCACAGCATTGGGTCGTATGCGGAAGGCTCTCAACAGCACGTCTCAAGTGAGCGTCGCGACCATGTATGTATTGTTCTGCGAGACGCGGCAGGCTATCAACAGGTATTCGTTGCATGGTGTTTGGTATCTCATTGACGCGTATGACAAGAGCAAGTCTGTGCGGGCAAACGTTTCGCGTGTCCGGCCTGGGCTAGTATCGACGCGTTGTCACACAATTCAGCTTTTGGAGGCGATCCGCAGCTGTGTGGGAGTATCGCTTGCTGTGCTGCGGACCTCGGGAGGTGGCGTATCAGACGGCGGACCTTGCGAGGTGGCGTATCAGCTCGGTCGGCGCCGTCTGTGTCCCAAGGTAGAATGTGACGGTATTCCAGAGCTCCGTGTGCTTGCGAGTTGTCTCAGCGTATTGACACAGAAGGTGCAGACGTATGCGAGGCAGCCTTCGCAGCAGTACCGCGGCTTGGTCAAGGCCGCCAAAGGTCTGGGTATCAAGTACGGGAAGTCGCATACGGTGAAGAAGCTCGCTCTGCTGGTGAAGCGAGGTATGCTGCAGCCTTCAGGCACCGGTGCGTGCAAACGGACGTACCGGGAGCTGGTATCCGCAGCGCACGCTCGCGGCGCCAGCGAGTATCAAAGAATTAAAGTGCAGGGAAGGTGGATCACCAGACGTGTATCCAAAGCCACGTTGGAAGCGCTGGTGGCTGAGCCCTAGGGGCGGTGCTCATTTGTATAGGGTCTTGTGGCAGACTTTGGGGTCAAGCAGAGCTGTATGAAAGAAGAGCCACCAGTAATGACATACACGTGCATCGAGAATCATGGGTATGGCAACGGCGACGGAGGCGGCGGCGGCGACGGCGAGGGTGACGGCGGCGACGGCGACGGCGACGGCGACGGCGACGGTGACGTATCGTCCTCAGCCTCAGCACCAGCCTGCCTCAGCGTCGGCCTCAGCCTGTCTCAGCCTCAGCCTGCATCAGCTCAGCGTGTCCCAGCCTCAGCCTGCTCCAGCTTTTACCCTCAGCCTCGGCCTCAGCCTGCGTGAGCCTCTTTTGCTCTCATGTCTATCATACGTTTCATGTGCTATACGTATCATACATGACACGGGGATGTGTGTCAAAACGTGCCCCAGAAATGTGACCAACTCTTGGTGTGTATGTGTCCCATGGCTAGCAGACGTATCATGTGCAATATGTATCATGTGCAACACGGCTCACGTGTTTTTCCGAGGGCTCTCCCACGGAATCGCCAGACCCATCTGGGGATCTTGGGAGGGCCTCCCAGGGCCCTGTGGTTATGTATTCTCTTTAGGCCTTCGGCCCCAGTCGCCAGAGCTCTCTGGGTATCTGGGGGGGTCCCAGGGCCCGATTGTCTTAGTGTCTGTGACCCGATTCCCAGGGGAAGTTTATGAGGGCGTCTGGGGGGTTCCCAGGGGAAGTCTATGAGGCCTGTGGATTCAAATGAAAAGATGAAGTGAGTATGTCTGCTCTGGCCGCATGTGCGGCGGCGGACTTCGTCTTGCCGACGGCGCTCGCATGAGTGTTCTGCGTGTACGGTCGTATGGACTTTGGCATTTGGGCACATGTATGCGGTTCGTTTCTGTTTGTACGTAGCGGTTTCTGCTCAAGCCGCTTACTGTATATCGCGAGATCGTATTCACTTCCATATTGCCGGCCTTCCGTATGGCTTCCCAGATGGCCGGTCGGCTCGACCCCGTGACGGGCGAGTATTACCCAAGCGATGATGAAGTGCGCTACAGTATGGAGCGCTGGCACACGCCACCCAACGACGAGGCGTATGCGCGGCAATGGCTCAAGCAGTGTGGCTCGGAGAGGTGGTTCGCGTGCGGTATCTTCTTCCCTATTGTGTGGGAGGGTGTCAAGGGCGTATGCCTCGCCGTATCGAGCGGTATGTCCACGAGGCAGTCGAAGACGAACAACGACCCGAACTACCAGCACAGTATGGGGGGCATCCCCGAGCCGGAGTGGGTTTACTTCGACGCCTTCTTCTACGCGCACGCGGTATTCGGGAATTTCTCGGTATTCCAGGATGAGAGGCTTGGGAAGCCCATTGGCTTCCTTCTGCACGTATTCGACACGCTATGCACCGGGCGAGGTATCGTCGCCTGGAAAGCCCACCTCTTCGTCCACCCGGGCCAGTGGGTGTATAGCAGTATGCGGTATTTGCTCGGTCAGCTCGGTATTCCCATTCACGCGGAGATCGTATCCGGCCTCTCCTACAGGGCCCTCGCCACCTTGGACGTATTCATTGCGTATCACGCGGCCTTCATGGGTACGGACCCGCAGAAAATGGCCATTTGGAACGTATCCCCTGAGGTCGGCCCAGAGATAAAGTATCCGCGTCAAGACCAGTGGTGGTGGTTGCCCGTATGGCGGTCTTTTGGTCAGAGCGACGAGTATCCGAACATGCTCGATTACCCGCTCTTGCCGGCGCATGTCGTGGCCGCGTTCGCACTGCCGTATGCGAGCCCCGGCTCTCCCGCCAGCAGGCGTATCGGCAATATCATTGGCCATTTGGGAGCG